AAATAACTAATGGCCAAAGCATCAGTGATAGGGAATAAAATCAAGCACAGGCTTTGCCTTGAATAGGAAGGATTCCTGATCCTTTAAGAATGGAGGAAAGAAAGAATGTTGATAGATGTAGCTGTTTGATGCTGGAGGAAATTGCAAGGATGCACAAGTAGTTTCCACACAATGACCTCAATTTTCTTGTTAAAATAGCAGGTGCACCGAGAATGAAGGGGAAAGGTTGTACAGCTCGAGTGGGGTAATAAACTTTTGAAATAGTGTCTGACCATGGTCAGAGGGAAAGGATTAGTGGATGCGATTGAGGAGCTAACTCAGATTAGAAAACCATAAATCTGTAGAGTGGGTCATTTGCTCCCATAGCACTCATGTGCCTGGGGGTAAGGGAAGGTTCACTATATTTTGGATTTAAGGCTGCAGGTACCGTGTAAGAAAAGACAGACTGTAGAAATGTAGAGTGTAAGCTGCTGGTTTCCAAGGTCAATTTCAAGCAAGACTTGGTGAGCATGGAAAGATCCAAGTCTGATTGAATTCAAAGAAAAAGAAGTGAAAAGAAAAGGGTTTATTTTATTTGTAGTCTAACATCACTCCTGACTTAACCTTGTTTTACTTTTCCCTTTCCCTAATTTTCTTATTTGTTTTACATTCACTCATTATTTTGTAAGACACGTTTTAGATACAAAGCTAAGTATAAGCAAATAAAAGGAAACTAAAAACATATCGATGGTCAGACAGGGGTGAGTTTTACTTTAACATGAGAAGCTGGAATTTATAGTGTCTCCATTGAGTTTTCATTGAGAACAGGATGCTGAAGATGGTTAGGAGGCTTTGTGGCTGATATGCAGTGGATATTTATTGAGGTTGTATAGGTTAGGGTTTGATTAGTGGTTCTTATCTTGGGATAATTTTGTAACAGGGGACACTGGACAATGTCCAGAGACAGTTCTGGTTCTTCCAAAGCGGGGGGCTTGGAATACTCTCAGGGTCTGGTGCCAGGGATGCTGCTGAACATCCTAAAAATGCATGAAATAGCCCCCAAGACAAAGAATTATCCGACCCAAGTGTCAATATTGCCGAGGCTGAGAAATCTGGGATAGCTGAACTATTTGTAAGAATGACGGAAGAACAAGAATGGTAGTAAATATCTGGAGAACCACTGAAGAGAAGTGGAGGAGGACCCACCCGAGGCATGGGCATACCAGATGATGGGAGATTCAAAGATTTATATTTGTGGGTGGTGGTTTGTGAGACATTGGTCCGAGGGGAACTGGATTTGCAGTACAAATTTGTAAAGGATTCCTGGGTTGAACTTTGTAAAGCAAATACAGGGGAAAAGACAGCAAGGGATTTGAAAAGAGGGCATATGCTATTTTCCACTTGCTTTTGAAAAGTCATATTTTAGTTACCCTTAAATAAAAGACTGTCTAGCTCTTTCCTTTGAGGTTTCCAGACAAATGCAACAAAAATAAATACTGGTTTAGAAGGAATATATCTCTCTGATACGGGGACATTACATGAGAAGTCCTGTTTTCTCCATAATCTTCCATCAGTTCTTATATCTCTCATGTTTTCTTTTCTTTTGGTTTTACCAAACAGATAACATCAGTTGCTTCTTTTGGTCAAAATCATAGAGCTGAGTGCCTTTTCTGTCTACACCACATGTAATAGGTACTCTCTGCTTTGTTTAACTAAAATAGACTTTCTAAACAATCGTGACCCTCACTGCATCATTCCTTTACTACTACAATACTGGACATTTATTTCCTTTAGATGATATACCATTTACAACCCCTGCCTTTTAGAATATTGAAGGAGCTGCAATATTTGATAGGTTTTGAGGCCTCCTAATCCATTATTTGTTTATTTTGATGACTAGATATTCTTTTCACATTGACTTAATAACAGTGGAAAACAATTGATTTAACTTCTTTTTCTGAATATCAAACTGGCTAAACCTTTCAATTCTATACAGGAAAGTCAATCCTGAGTGGCTTTTAAGATAATATCAATTTATATGATGCATTCATCTATAGTTCAGATGGATTTCAAAAAATGGACAGGTCACTGGGGCCATACACACCTCCAGATTCCTGTGCTCTGCATTTAATGGTTCGTAACATTTCATAGAAAAAAACCCAACCAGATTATGATCAAAGGAAACTTGATGACTCATTTGTTAATGATCACAAATGGATTAATTTATTTTAATTTCCAAACCTCCATGTATCTTCTAATATATCAGATGTACAAAGAAAGACATGTGTCCCTTAAAAAATTACTGCTACAGGCATGAGAAGGTGTTTAAACAACTCCCTTCCACTATCAACCTCAGTACTTGGAGTTCTCCTAAAATGACAATAAGACTAATAATAAAAAAACAAAGACAGTGATATAGAACTTTCTAGCACCATGTGTCATCTATATATATTGTCATAGAGATATGTAACTACTTTAGGTTCATAATATTTATTCAATTCACTAAAGAGATTCATTTTCTCCCCTACACAGATGAACAGTTACAGCTTTTAGCCCGTTAGTAAGTGATTGGACTAATCCATGTTCAACTGCATGTTCCTTGCAAACATTTTGACATTTTATGTACATGTAGTAAGTATATTATCGTTTTAAAAATATATCGTTTCTTTCTGGTGAAATTAAGGAAGACACATACTAGTTATTTTACATATATTAACAACATTTACTTTAACAAATGATGATTTAGAAAATTTACCAGGAGGTGTTATATTTGTTTTTAGTTGGCACTACTTGGGCAAAAGTAGTATCTATCTCTCTTGTTGATGCAGTACTAAGTCATTAGGCTTATTTAAAAATGCCACCCCTTTATATTCTGTATTCTCTTTCCTGTTTTCATTTTCTTCATAGCACTCTGACCATCTAACAAAATATATAATCAACTTTGGTTTTTATTGCTTATATATTATCGCCCTCTAGAATGTAATTTCCACTATGGCGAGAATATTGGTATATTTTATTCACTATTGTTGCTCTCCTATGCACATAGTAGGCACTTGATAAATACTTGTTGAGGAGTGCCAGGGTGGCTTTTGGTTAAGTGTACAACTCTTGATATTGACTCCTGTCATGATCTCATGGTTGATGAAATGGGGCCCCGTGTAGGGCTCTGTGGGGGCAATGCAGAGCCTGCTTAGGTTTCTCTCTCTCTCTGTCCTTTCCCTGCTGACGCACATGCGTGCATGTTCACACACACTCCTACACTCTCTCAAAATAAATAAACTTTAAAAAAAATATTTGTGGAATGATTGTGGTTGTTATGCAAATCAATCTAACAGCAAATCTAATGGCACCATTAAGCAAGAGGTATCTTCGCTGACTTTTCAAAAAACAATTTTACTATTTTTAATTACTTGATTTGCTTTAACTTCCTCACAGATCACCTTTTTAAAAGCTTTTCATGAGAAGCACAGTGCTGTGCAATTCCATTTCAAGCAGTCTGGATTCCCACACCACCGCAAATTCTTTACTCCTCTGGCTACTATTTGCATATGGATCCCTCAGAGGTTTATAGCAGTCAGTCCTTTTCTAAGGTATGTGCCTTTGTAGGTCATTGGGGAAACGATTTAGTTCTCTGGTGAGCTTAATAAAGTTAGATGCACTGGTATAAATAAAAAAAAAACCCACTAAATGGGCAATGCTCACCTTTGTTTTTTTCAAAGGTGTTTGCATGACTACTTTCTACAACATTAAATTTGCAGTTGTGGCAAAAAAGAGACTTCTGTCTCAAAATCACATATTACTTGTGTTGTACTTGAAGAGACACTTTAATAAAAGGTCAGTTGGGTGTAGGTTGTAATAAAGCAACAACACTTTCATTGGTATAAACTCTAGCTATGCTAGGCTAATAAAAGCCACAACATGAAAATTTGAATAATCCCCAAATAATTCTCAGTGCACTTTAGAATTCATTACATGGCCTTTTAAGATTTAGTGTGTCTTCTTAAATATCTGCTGCTTGCGTTAACAATAAAATTAGTTTCTTAGTAACATATTGGTTGGGCGTTTCTTGAGAACAAGAACCATATCTTACTCATTTTGAAACATCCGAAGCACTTAGCCCAGTGTCCTGCATGTGGTAAGTCCTAAATTTTGAATGAATATACCCTTGAATGAGTGAGGAAAAGATGTAGAAGTTGAAGACAAGTCTGACCAAGGCAATCAAAATAAAAGATCATCAATACTTTTTCATTTTTAATTATGAATATTTGATACTGGGTCCTACAAAACAAAGAAGGCAGAAATTATCTACTTTCTCAAACTATCCCATGAGAATAAACTATTTCAATGCCTACATTGTAATTCAAACTTCTAAATGAATATTTTACTTTAGTTTATTATTATAATCGGTTTTGTTTTGTTTTTCTTTTCCAGACTTTGAGCTCTGAACAACATAGAAAAAGTCCTTAACCATCTTTCTGCTCATTCATATGAATTGTCATTTCATTGAGCCCATATTTTCCAACAGAGGGATAATTTGTTTGACTGTACTTTGGGAAAATCAGGGAGTGGGATTCAGAGACTTGTAGAAGGATTAATGATTAGCTACCTTTCTAAACTATCTGTGTATAGGCATACATGTTGCAACCAAAGATACAAACTAATTGAAAAGTTTGCAAAGTAGGTGTGCATTATTTTTCAATCAGAAATAAAATTTCATAAGGATGCCTAATATTTATTTTTATGTTAATAGTGCTACCCTTTATAAAAGCAAAGCAAATTTTAATAATCAATTATTTTCTACTGAAACAATATTTTCTTTTAACCATTCCCAGTTAAACTAAACAATATATTTCTGGTACAAAAGAAGTTTTTGAAACTTTGAAGAGATCTTGTTCGAATATATATTTTAAGTAAATATGTGTCCTTATTATCCAATTACACTTTAGCAGGAATAACTTGGAACAGTTACACAGTTATATCTCAGATCTGTAAAAGTATAGAAATAATAATGACCTGCTAACCTTGAGATCTCATGAACTCCAGTATCTTCCTGAAGACTCTATGCTTCCGAAAACATCATTTCAGTCAGTTGATATCTCCTTATTTTTTCCTTAAAAAAGAAAACATGTCTCAATATGTCACATAAGGTTATATTTTCAAAGAACAAAGCTAACTACATGGTATAAATATAATGTGACACAGAAAAATCAATAGGAATTGTGGAATATAAACAAGGCATTAAATACAGAACTAAATGATCATACCGTATATAATTTAGCAGAAAGAATATCCATGCTAGAAGAATGTAGCAATTTTCTAATCAATAAACACATATTACTATGGGCAAGAAGTTAAAGACATTCCATCTTATTAATCAGCATAGGATTACACTACATTTCAGTAACTTTTTGGTCTCCAGGAGATTCATATCTTTAAGACCCACAAAACTCCAGGAAAACCAACCAAAATGTCATAGCTAGATAGTTGTTAACAATCATGATGAATATTTATTATGTTTTTGGATTTGCTTAAAGGAAACTATTTAATTATAAAATTATATCAAACATTTATACGTCCTGGTTTTAAGATACCTTAGGCTTTAAGAAAAAAATCTTGTTTTTAAAATTACAGTGCTAGAATTAAAAATGATTAGTGCAATAATTTTAAAAGGTGATGAAATCCTCACAATAATTATATACTTGAATTTTCCTCAAATTAAAATGTATATAGTCACTTTCTCTAAGGAATTAATGAACTTTCCATTCTAACATGTAGAAATAAATCACTATGTCATACACAAATATAAAAGTTTTCCTTAGAGATGAGCTAGGGAAATTTGTGAAGTGTGGTTCATTTATTATTTCCACAATACCCAGAAATGAACTAACACAGACCATAACCAATAATAATAGGTAGTATAGAAAAACTAAAATGGGTTACTTGAATGAAGAAATTGCCTGAACAAACAACATAGGGTGCTTTGTTCATACAAGCTTAAAAACATCAAAGTTGTTAAGAAAAAAAAAATGTCTCAGGAACATTGTACATCTGAGGGCCTCTTTCTTCCTTTAAACATTATGTGCATTTACATGGATATGCAAAGATACAGGGATTTAGAACAGGCTAGAGTATAACTGTGGTACTCATAAGTTTTACCAAATTATGGTTAGAATTAGGGAACTAAGTAGAGAGGTGCCTGGGTGGCCCAGTCGGTTGAGCATCTGACTCTTGATTTCAACTTGGATCATGATCTCACAGTTCATGAGATGGAGCTCCACGTCAGGCTTTTCTGCTGTCAGCACGGAGGCTGCTTGGGATTCTCTCTCCTGCTCTCTTGCCCCTTCCCCAACTCACTTGTGCACACACTCTCAAAATAAATAAACATTTACCAAAGGAGAAAAAAAGAAGAAGAAGAATTATAGAACAAATTAAAGTCCAGTTTGGTCAGCAGAAGTACTTGAAAAATTTTGGAGAGATTAATTTAAAATTCAATTTTAAGTATAATTTTAAGTATCTTAAACTCTGTTGAGAACATTATATCCTCAAATGATAACATACTAAAGACCACTGAAACAATTATTTGTATCATCTGTTGCCATCATTTTGAGGTATATTTCAGCATATAACTTTTTCTGTCTTCTCTGTTAATGATAAATACATATCTGAAGATTGTAGGTCAAATCTGAAGATTGTAGGTCAAGCAAGTATAGTAACAGATCTCTACCTGCTTGTAATATGTCCAACGAATTAAAACTTTAAAAATTATTTGCAATTAAAACAAATTACTAAAAATAAATTAGATGCTGAGTTGAGTATGTCTATAAATGTCATTCATAATCTCAACTCAAACTTTCTTGTTAATGGAAATGAATCCCATAATATTTAAATGTCATTTTTACCTATTAAGGTATCATTTAAGAGTTTAACCTGAAAATAAAAAGTGTTTGCCGTTACAAAAAAAGGAAACTGCAATCACATTCAGTCTCCCTATTTTATAAATACAAAAATTGACATGTAGCTAAATCTGGAGGAAGAGATTAAGTATTTTTTGGCCACTGATTGTAAAATTGAAATTGAAAACATAATTGTGTTTTATAACCAAATAAAGATTTTTCATAGGCATTTAAGGTAGTCTATTGAGAAAAGCAAAAGTATCTAAATTTACATATCTATAATATCTATCTAAAATACCCTGTAATTTAGACAAAGGCCAAAGGACCCTTGGTAATGGAAAAAAAGAACCCAAACTCTGACCTATTTGAAAGTCAAGTATATAAACAAATATTTTATGGACAGGATCGACCCTAACTGAGGCCAGACAATCCCCTAGGAGGAGTCCATCACAAAGGAAGAATAATTCTGGAAGAACAAGTTGTATTCAAAGCAAAGTTCCAAGATGGAGCATCTGAGGACCAATGTGACTTCTGAGTACAATGTGCAGTAGTGGATGCTGGAAACCATTTCAACCTAGCACTCTGTTTCTGGAGATTTGACCTGGGAACATGGGCTGTGTGAGACTGTGTGAGGAAATGTGTATGCACTTATGTGAGAAAGTATTTAAAGAGTTGTGCTAATATCTGTGCATTAATAGCACTCACTTTGAGACCCAGTCAACTTTGTAAAGGGATAATCTTTAGGTACTATATCTCAGAAAGATCTAGGGGCTCTGATTCTTCTTTTGCAAGCCCCTCCGGGCACAACAAGGGTGGTCGAAACAAGATTTGTGGGAACTGCCATTTTCCAGGATTCCAGGAATTCTGTGTCTATGAAGTAATCACGACCAGAGTTGGATACTCCTAGCATAGCCTGTTGTTATACCAGTACTTGAATGGGATCCCAGTCCTATGGGGGACCTTAGCTGTGACAAGTGACATCTGGGACTTATTTGTGGATAAACAGAACCATCCCAGGCACTAAGAAAAATATACAAGGAGTAAAATTTATGGAAGACTAGGAACATGTATACTGCTGGAAATGCAACATCATTTGCCTTCATCAATTTTTTATGGCAGTCATCTAAAAACCCCTAGTTTATGATTATAAGTTCAGTAAAAAATAAAACTGGCATAAATCTATGCTATCATTTAGAATTGTGCACCTAATATTTATGGTGTATATCTGGTTTTTTCTAATATCTGGGGTCCAATTAAGAAATTCCTTGGGAAATACAAATCAAAACCACAATGAGATACCACCTCACACCTGTCAGAATGGCTAAAATTAACAAGTCTGGAAACAACAGATGTTCGTGAGGATATGGAGAAAGGGGAACCCTTTTACACTGTTGGTGGGAATGCAAAATGGTGCAGCTGCTCTGGAAAATAGTACGGAGGTTCCTCAAAAAATTAAAAATAGAATTACCCTATGACCCAGCAATTGTTATGTTAGTAATTTATTCAAAGGATACAAAAATGTTGAGTTGAAGGGACACATGCACCCTAATGTTTATAGGAGCACTATCATCAATAGCCAAATTATGGAAAGAAACTAAATGTCCATCAAATGATGAATGGATTAAGAAGATGTAGTATATATGGGGCACCTGGGGAGCTCAGTCAGTTGAGTGTCCAACTTCGGCTCAAGTCATGATCTCGTGGTTTGTGGGTTTGAGCCCCGCATTGGGCTCTAGCCCCACACAGGGCTCTGTGCTAATATCTCAGAGGCTGGACCCTGAGTCGGATTCTGTGTCTCCCTCTCTCTCTGCCCCTCCCCTGCCCGCGCTCTGTCTTTCTCTCTCTCAAAAATAAACATTTAAAAATATTTTTAAAAGGAGACATCTTTTTTAGACATATACATATGTGTATATATATGTATAGATGTATGACGGAATACTACTTGATAGAAAAGAACGAAATCTTGCCACTTGCAACATTGTGGATGGAACTGGAGGGTATGATGCTAAGCAAAGTCAGTTAGAGAAAGACAGTTATCATATGATTTCACTCATATGCAGAATGAGAAACTCAACAGATGAACATAGGGGAAGGGTAGGAAAAACAAGATGAAAACAGAGAGGGAGGCAAACCATAACAGACTCTTGAATACAGAGAACAAACCGAGGGTTGTTGGAGGGGAGGTGGGTGGGGGATCAGCTTAATGGGGGATGGGCATTAAGGAGGGCACTTTTCAGGATAAAGTGTCATATGTAAGATGAATCCCTGGATTCTACTCTTGAAGCCAAGACTACACTGTAGACTAAATTGATTTTAAATTAAAAACAAACAAAAAAAGAACTTCCCTGAGACCCAGTTTTTCACTTTTAGAAATTCCTACAGTATTGCAGAGCTACAGAGAATGGTGAATTCTACCTCTCCTTGCTTCAGGCTCCTTGGCTTCCTGGTTGTCCATGGACATTACTGCAAACCACCCCATACATCCCAGCAGCCGAGTGGAGTGGCAAGGGTAAAGGTACTCTCCCATGTTTGCCAATATTTTCTCTAAAGGGCATCTTTAGTAGGTCAGTGAGGCACAAAGCTCTTGTTGGCATGTTTTAGTCAATAGTCAAGCTAGATTTCACTGAGGTTAATGAAGGTAATATTGCAGTGGTAGCCTTGACTGAGCCATAAGATCAGCTTGTGTTGTTTTTAATGGATGATACACTGATTAACTATAAGGAAATATAACTTAAGACACTCTTATCGTACTCCTGTGTTAAAAAAAAAAAGTTATCTCTTGCATGTGATGAGCACTGAATGTTATATGTAAGTGATGAATCACTAAATTCTACTCCTGAAACTAATATTACACTGTATGTTACTGATTAAAATTTAAATTAAAACTTGAAATATTAAAAAACTCTCTTGCAGATGCTGAGTTTTTGAGAACAAAGTTGTTCGTCTCAGAATCACAGAACTGGAGGGGTGCTTGGGTGGCTCAGTCGAGTAAGCGTCCAACTTCGGCTCAGGTCATGATCTCACAGTTCGTGGGTTCGAGCCCCGCGTCGGGCTCTGTGCTGACCGCTAACTTGGAGCCTGGAGCCTGCTTCAGATTCTGTCTCTCTCTCTCTCTGACCCTCCCCTGCTCATGCTGTCTCTCTCTCTCTCTCAGAAATAAATTAAAAAAGAATCACAGAATTGGAGACCCCCAAGCCAACCATTTCTGCATGTCTGG